AGCTCGGCGCTAGGGACGCTTGAAAGCTCTAGTTTGGTTTTGGTTAATTGATGAAACCCTAAGTGCTAACCTAGTTTATCAAAGTGATTATGAGATAGGTAGCACTACTCCAAGTGATGAAGCAATGGCGAAGATCATGACGATGGTGATGGCATGGTGATGATCAAATGCTTGAACTTGGAAAAGAAGAAAGAGAAAAACAAAAGGCTCAAGGCAAAGCTATAAAAAGTAGGAGCCATTTTATTTCGGTGATCAAGACACTTAGCGAGTGTGATCACATTTAGGTTAGATAGTCGTACTATTAAGAGGGGTGAAACTTGTATTGAAATGCGGTTATCAAAGTGCTACTAGATGCTCTAACTCATTGCATATGCATTTAGGATCTAGGGGAGTGCCAACACCCTTGAAAATGTTTGAGAAAATATGCTAACACATGTGCACAAGGTAATACATTTGGTGATTGGCACATTTGAGCAAGGGTCAGAAACTTCACCGGCGCCCTATACAGAAAAGACAGGGGTTTACAGAGTGACCGGACACTGGTGGTGCAGTGACCGGACGCTGAGGTCTAGAGTCCGGTCAGTGATAGTAGAAAGCACACTGTCTCGGTCTTGTGACCGGACGCTGGAGTGTAAACTGACCGGACGCTCATGGTCTGAGTCCGGTCAGTGCTGACGTACGCTGACGTGAGGCGCACAGAGAAAACATTTAGTGACCGGACGCAGGGTGTGTCCAGTCGAGCATGACCGGACGCGTCCGGTCGTGAAATGTCGCGTTTGAAACCTTACTGGAAACGACCGAACGCTGAGATCCAGCGTCCGGTCACTTTCTAACTGACGCGTCCGGTCATCACTTGATCGTTGAAATCAGGCGATCGACGTTTGAAGCCGATGACACGTGGCGCACATCGCACGACCGGACGCTGAGGTCCAGCGTCCGGTCAATATGACCGGAGCATCCGATCGGCCCGTGTTCACTGCAGTGAGGAGCCCAACGGCTCTATTTCATAGGGGCTTCTATTTAAGCCCCATGGCCGATTAAAGCTCACTCTCTTGGTCATTTGCATTGACATAGCAACCTTATGAGCTTAGCCAAAGCCCCCACTCATCTCTATCATTGATTCATCATCATTGTGAGATTGGGAGAGAATTCAAGTGCATTGCTTGAGTGATTGCATCTAGAGGCACTTGGTATTCGTGTTTTACTGCGGATTTCGCTTGTTGCTCTTGGTGGTTGCCACCACCTAGACGGCTTGGTGCAGCGGTGGAGGATTGGCACGAGTTGGTGATTGTTCGTGGCCATCTCCGATGATTGTGAGGGGATTTGTACCTTCCCCGGTGGAGCGCCGAAAGATAACTCTAATGGATTGCTCGTGTGAAAGGTCCTTGTTGGTTTTGGTAATTGAGTGACAACCTAGGTGGACTAATTGTGTTTATGTGAGATACACAGGTGATTAGTCCACAGGTACATGTGTATGAGCAACATATGCCATGGAGGTGAAAATGGCTTAGAGATGTTGCAAAGCTCACACACGTGATGATGAAGGAGCTTATTGCACATGAGACATGACATTGAGTCATGCGATCAAGGTGGAGAAGATCAAGACAAGACTTGGCTTGATGGACCGGTTGCAAGCGTGAAGGGCAAGTCGAAGGCTTTGGAGTGATGGACCGCGTGGCGGTGAAGCTTGAGCAAGACTTGGCGCCGATGGACGATGGCAATGGTGAAGGGCAAGTGAAGTCAAGATCGATGAACCAATATGATCACGTGATGATATAAAGTGGATCATATCATTGTTGATAGTGTTGGTGCATTGCATCGACATTGGAGGAGATGGTATGGAAGCGCAAGGCAAAGGTATAACCTAGGGCATTTCATTTCACCGGTCATAGGTGTGTGAGAAGTTTATCCGGGTTTAGGATAGATGGCCGTACTATCAAGAGGGGCAAACTTGTTTGCATATCGGTCATCTAGTGCCACTCGAGTGATCTAACTTTGCATTGTCGCTAGGATCGAGTGGCGTGGCAAGTTGAGTGGCTAACATCCTTTGGGAAAATGATTGTGAAAATGCTAACACACATACACATGGTGGTGTACACTTGGTGGTGTTGGCACATTTACAAAGGAGGTGGTGTTTGCGAGGGTGAGATGGGTTTGGGTCCCTCTCTCCCTCCCGTAGAAGCTTCGAGGCGGGATTCAACGCTTCGGGAAAATAGAATGCCTATTTTCTATTTGCGCCGGTTGCAAGTTCTTGTGGTTAGCACATTGGAGCAAGGGTGATGAAGTTAGAAGTGAAACGAGTTTAGTTGCGAAGATCTTTGGCGTCGGTGATTGTGGCCGGATATTTGAATCTGAATGCACCGGGGCCGGCTGGCGAGAGTGCGTCCGGTCGGTGACGTCTGATGGCGTTGGAGTGTGACGGGATATTTGGCTGCGTCCGATCAAAATGTGACCGGACGCGTCCGGTGAGTCAATACCTACTATTTGGAGTGAAATTCTTCGCGTGGTCGATTCATTGGAAGCGTCCGATCGGCAGATGACCGTTGAGATCCGATGAAGCAGCGTTTGAAGGAGGGACACGTGGCGTTGTACCGAGGTCCAGCGTCCGGTCGATCGAACCGAGCGTCCGGTCGGCCCGCGTTGCCGATGAAGGTAACGGCTAGTTTAGCCCTTGTGGCTATAAATAGAAGTGGCCCTCGGCCATGGCTGGTGTTGAGCACCTCAAAGGACTTAGTGTCCATGCTTTGTGAGTGCTTGGGAGCCCTCCATCACACATATACTTGATAGTGATCATTCGATTGTGTGAGTGAGCGATTCTAGTGCGATTGCATCGTGAGGTTGCATCGAGTGGCACTAGGTGATCGAGTTGCGAGCCGGTGGTGCTTGTTACTCTTGGAGGTTGCCACCTCCTAGACGGGCAGTGGTGGTGGTCTCCGGAAGCGCGCAAGAAGCTTGTGCGGCGCTCGAGAAGAAGTGCTTGTGAGGGGCATGGTGCTGCGCCCTGCGGGAATCAAGAGCAACTCTAGTAAAGCGTGTCATTGAGCTACCCTCAAAGGGGTGAGTTGTCTCTTGCGGGCTTAGCGGGTGATGCTAATTAGCCGCCGAACCACCAAGTGAGCGGTCGACACAACGGGGACTAGCGTGTTGGCAAACACGTGAACCTCGGGAGAAAAATCATCGTGTCAACCTTGTTCTTCCCGTTGGTTTGCATCCCTATTACACAAGCTTGCACTTACTCATTTACATTTTCGCAAACTAGCTATAACAACCTCTTTAGTGTAGCTAGAATTGAGAGCTTGCTTTGTGGATTAAGTTCATCTAGTGGAGCTCTTTAGTGTAACAATTGTGAGAGCTCTTAGTGAGTAGTGATCTAGTAAATTGTGTGCCTAGTGATCATAACAACTAGAATTGTTGGATAGGTGGCTTGCAACCCTTGTAGAGTTAGAGCAAGTTTGCATTTCGCTATTTGTTATACTAATCAAATTGCTCTAGTCGGTTTGTAGAGTTTTAAATAGGCTATTCACCCCCCTCTAGCCATATTAGGATCTTTCAACGCTGGCGCCGAGACGTGTTGCATCGATGGCGCCGAGCTGAGGGTCTAGATTCTGAAATCTTTCCTTCAGGGACGTATTTGTGAAAAACTTTTAAAAAAAAGGGCTAAAAAATAAAAAATTCGAAGTATATGACCCCAACAATTCATTTTAAAATCTTTAAGTTTTAGAAAAATGATCTTCCCACAGTTATATATACTTTACACAAATTGAATAAGCTCAGCAGCCCGAATGTGCTCTAATAATAAGCTTATGAAATTCTAGACCGTGCCTCATGTTTCCAAAGGAAAACGATTTACGTAATTATTATGGTCGTTAGCATTCAAAGTAAGTCCCATAAAGAATGTCGTCGTGCTAGCTAGGTGAGTCCCATGCCTATAGGAATCAATATCACCAATTACAGGACATATGAGCAATTGATGAAGCATGTCCTGGAAAGATTGTCCTGGTCCATTGTTTAAGAAAAAAAAAATACTCTAGCATGTTTTGGGGTGAAAAAGTTGCTGTAGTGGTGGGTAATCAATTGGCTTGTTGACCTTTGTGGCTGTACCAATGATAGGACATACGAAGAATGTTCATTTACTCTGGACCAGATGTAATACGGAGTAATTATGCTCTTGTTTAGTTCCACTCTAATTTCTAAAAAGTTGCTATAGTACCTGTCACATCGAATGTTTGCGGCCTGTGTATGGAGCATTAAATGTAGACGAAAAGAAAAACTAATTGCACAGTTTGGTGGGAAATTGCGAGACGAACGTTTTGAGCCTAATTAGTCCATATTTGAATACTATTTATCAAATAAAAACGAAGGTGCTACAATAGCCCCAAAATCCAAATTTCACGAACTAAACAAGGGCTATATAATGTTGCAGGGGTGTGCACTATTTTGCTTCAATGCTTGATATACGCTACGAATCCTAAAAGAACAGTAATTGGGACGGAGGGAATACGCTTTTAGCCTTACTACCGGCCAGTTCGCTAGCTCATATACGATCGTGAATTATAAGCTGGAACAGTATTTTTCTCTCATACCAAACCAGCCAGCAATAAATAATTCATGATCGTTTACGACGAAATGAACGGGCTGTGCATCACGAGATGGACGCAGAATTGTAGACCGTACATCATTTCCAATCTATCCAGGTTTGAAGTTATGTTCACTTATAGCCACTACATCACGCGATGGACTCATACCGACGATTTCTTAAAAATATAAGCTAAGCAGCCCGAAGTTCTCCACTGGCCAAGGCCAAGCTCATGGAATTTCTAGACTCTGCATCATTTCCAATCTATCATGTTTGAAGTTATGTTCACTTAAAAGTTAAAACAAAGACATTAAGTACTTTTAACCTCAGGATTCTTCCATCACTACTGTTATCTAAAGAAATCCTAAATTTATAAAGCAGCTCGGAAGCAGACAAAACAGAGGGAGTGAGGAGCACTGGCTACTTACGCCTTGGTGGCGACGTAGACGGTGTAGAGCGGGTCGGACGGCATGATGGCAGAGGCGCCGGAGCCCATGTTCACGATGGCTCCACGCCCGCGTTCCAGCATGCCGGGGAGCACGGCGTGCGTCACCCGCGTGACGGCCTCAACGTTGAGCCGTATCAGGCTCCGCGCCAGCGCCTCGTCCACCTCGTGGAAGTAGCGCGCGTACGGGTACGACGCGCCGACGTTGTTCACGAGCACGCCCACGTCCAGGCCCCGGAGGAGCTCCCCGAGCGCGTCCACCTTCGCGGCGAGATCGTCGGCGGCGAAGTCGAGGACGAAGGTGCGGACCTGCGTCCCCGGGTGCCTGGCTCTGAGGTCGGCCGAGACGGCGTCGAGCTTGTCGGGGTTCCGGCCGACGAGGACGAGCCCGAGGTCGGCCGCGGCGAGGCGGAAGGCGAGCGCGCGGCCGATGCCGTCCGTGGCGCCCGTGACGACGGCCCAGGCGCCGTAGCGGCGGCGCAGTGGCTTCGCCGGGCGGAGGAACGCCGCGTATAGCCACAGCGCGAGGCGCGCCGCGGCGCGCGCCGACACGAATAGCCCCAGCGCTGCGAGCGCCAGCGCCCACCACGTGGGCTGCGCGTGCACGCAGGCCATGGAGACAGGCTCAGCAGTGAGCACCGCGAGCGCGTGGTTGCGCGGTGTGGATGCTGCTGCTGCGCGCTGTATGCCGTATGCGAACGGGGTTTGACGACGGCTCCAGATATAACCCGAGAAGCACGTACAAGCACCCCATTGCACGGATACGTGAGGTTGGCCACGTATCCCGTATGATACGCTTGGATACGCGACGGATACGTATCCGTGAAGTATGGCAAAAAAAATTGCAAAAAAAAAAATCGGATACTTAATCTGATACGTATCCATACGATTTGATGAATGCCAATACGTATCTGCCACGGACGCCCGCCAAGACGCCCTGCTGCATGATTTGGCTTCTAGTAATTTTAACATGTCTTATTATTTTTTAAAATATATATATATAACGTATCCGTATATTAGGTTTTTTTTAGAAAAATGATGTATCCACATATCTATATCCGTCTTATGCCGATACACGTATCCGTGCTGCATCCCATTGTGATCTGGGCCGCCGGGACAACCTTTAATTGTGGAGTAAATTGTGGGCAGGTGGTGCGGTTTCGGTTGGTGAATGTCGATGCATTGAAAAACTGTGGGCAGGTGGTGCGGTTTCGGTTGTTGAATGTCGATGCATTGAAAAACTGTGGGCAGGTGGTGCGGTTTCGGTTGTTGAATGTCGATGCATTGAAAAAACTTGGTTGTGGAAATATCACAAATGGCACGCAGAGCACACAGAAATCTTTTGCTTTCTCAACGTTCCACGGATGGAAGAAACAAGATTGTCAAAATCTTACAGATGGGAGGCACACAGAAACCTTTTGCTTTCCCGAAGTTGGATATGTCAAAATCTCACGGAGGGCTGGCGGAACACACAGAAATCTTTTGCTTTCTCGAACACAGATTCAACAATATATTTTGCAAGCACATGTAATTCTTGCTTTCTCGAACACAGATTCAACAATAATATTTTGCAAGCCCATGTACTTCGTCTTCGTGCAAGCAATGGAGCTCTATGCCGTGTGGAGGAAGAAGATCGTTCAGTTGAACGGTGGGAGAACAGACGGTCCAGATTGCACACGAATTCAAATTTCAACGTAAGTTTACATACTATTAAGAAACAAATGTAATTTTTTGTCTACTTGGGTTCAGAAAGAAAATAGAAGTACCCTCAAAGGAACTTGAGCATTTAGAACAATCGTTTAGACCTGTCTTACACTTAAAACACTCGTTCAGAGCAAAAACTATCTTCCTGCGCTCTTCTGCTTGGGTTTCTTGATGTCCCTCTTCACCTCTTGCTCTTGGAAGTTGGAACTAGCTGACGCACTGGCCTCTTCCTGCAATACTCGTTTAAAGCTGCCTCCGCTTAAACAACACTCGTTCAGAACCAAAACTACCTTCCTGCGCTCTTCTGCTTGAGTTTCTTGGTGTCCCTCTTGGAAGTAGTTGACGCACTGGCCTCTTCCTCAGCCTTCTGCTCAGCCTCCAGCACAGCCAGCTGAACATAATGCACAAGTGAGCCAATATACTACAGCTCCGAATATTCTTTGCTTCATACCAGAGAAAATAGCACAAGCACAACACAGTTACCTCGTCAAGTATCGACTTCAGTTCTTTGTATCGAGTTTCGGCGAGATCAAAACCATCTTTGCGGAGCTCCTGCCATTGGATGTACAGGATTACATTCAACACATTTTCTTAAGGATGATATAGTAGCTGACTAATGATGGAAATTCAAGAAACGGAAACTAACCTTTCCAGTGTGTTGAGTGTGCTCATAGGCAGCCATTTGCCAGTACATATGTGTCCTCTTGTAGAAATCTCTCAGTGATTCTCCAGGCTTTCAGAATAAATAAACAAAAGGAAATATAAGTAAAACAATATTTTGGTTTTGTTAACTGCAAGTAGCGAATGGTTGGCCATGATTTCTTCGAGAACAAACATATGATGATATGAAGGACAAGAGCCAGCTAATGAAAAGGAAAGCAATAAATCTAAAAATGACAGAAAATAAACGAAACTAAGTACAACATTACCACTGGAGTCCTTTGAGAATCAGAAAGGCCAAGGATGACCCTGATTTGTTCTATCCGAGCACGCTTCTCTTTTCTACGCATGGTCTTACTTTCACCCTTCAGCAGAGACACAGCACTAGACACGTTCTTCGCAGCATCTTCATCAGACTACACAGGCATGTGAGGATCACAGATAAATAACCATATGCTAACTGTAGTCACTAATGGAAAAGGACACACCTAAGGAATGTCCAAGTATCAAGCGAGGCTAACTCATAAGTCAACTAGGACAGGAGCATTCCTAACCACAAATATTTCTGCTACCAACAGCCACCTCCTTTTATCTAATTTTTAGAAGCCACTGTTAGTTTTGACATATGGAAAAAATGCATGAATGCAACACTTTTAAGTCCAGTTAGATACTGTAGATGAATTGGTCTTTAGCAGTTTAGCTACGCAATCTTAGCAAGACAGACACCTAGACTCAATCTAATACAGCGGGTCGGAAAGTACCAGATGTTTTGGTTTCAAACAAAATTGCCGGAACATGGAAAGTAAGATCCCTTTGCATTCAAATAATATTCTGACAAAATATGTTCTATAAGATGTTAAATCTAAGACCTGACTGATTAATAATAATTTGTAACCCAGATTACCACAGCAAGATTTTGTCCAGTACAACCTAATCCAGGATCGAATTAGGATCCACAGAAGCAGGGTACGAGAACTCTAAAGTACTAGTACATACCTCTTCTTCATCTTCATCTGTCTGGCTAGCATCCCCCTCTTCATTTTCATCGTCATCAGCCTCATCATCATCATCATCATCCTCTTCCTCAGAAATTTCTAACCATTCAGATTCTGAGGCCTGAATAAAAAGGATAGTAATGATGACTTCCCCACAAACAGTAATGGATGTAATATGACTAGAAGTTAATTTGTTTGTCTGGTATTTCGATTGCAATATATAATAATGTTAATTAACACTAAAATGGCAAAAAGAGATCCAGTTTGTCACTGACCGATATGATACACTTCCACTCATCAAGTTTGCTAAGGTTAAGTGAATAAAGATCATCAAGAGTAATTTCTCTATCTTTCACTTCCATCATTCCTCCATACAAGTAGAGCATATCTTTCCCTACGGCCATGCATGCATTGATACGACCACTGGGCTTCACCGCCTGTCCGTACCAAAAGTCAATGAGCAACAGAAGTGTCACTGAAATGCAAATGCAAAGCTCGAAATAACCTCCAACGATGCTTCTTGTGCTGTTGAATCAGAGAGAACATCAATACTTCTGCTTGAGCTATCTTTAGTGATATTCAGATTCTTGATCAACTGATTTGAAACTCCATTGACTTCAGGTTGTCCTTCAATAGCTTGTTCTAAGTCCTCCATGACCTCATCACCCTCATTATCAATAACATTGGCTTCTACATCATTCGTTGATTCTTTTCTTTTGATATTCCTTGCCTGTGCATGGAAACCAGCATTAAATATGCACATTTTCGACAGCAATAAACTTAACACTTGCTTGAAGCAAAGACCCATGGGTTTTAGGATATTTTAAGTTCAAAATATAAAACATATGCACATTTTCAACAGCTAGACCCTGTACAGTAAACTTAGTCTTGCTTTTTCAAATACCAGAATATATTTCTGTAAAATACTTGATACAATGAATTTCTATCTACATCTTTAGATTCACCAACCATGACTAATGGGATGGCTAGGAATCACCTTGGTTTTAGCAGGCTTGTCTTTCCTGAGCTCTAGCGGATACCTGAGATATTCAAGGGGAACAATTGATTCAGCAAACAAACAGAATACACAAACTAAACAAGGAAGCATAACCTTTCAGGTCTAGCCTCCAATCACATTTAAATTGTGGACCAGAGAAAAGTAATCAGTGCCAACTGAATCAAATGTCGTCATTATATAATCCCACCAGAGAGTAAAGCATGTGCCTTGGAGCAAGGGATTCCAGTATTTTACATATTTCCAAAATAGCTAAGTTATCGAGAGAACTACAAGAAGATTACAAGGGATGTTCAACCCAAGGTGCTGAATGAATAAAAAATATACAAATCAGTTGTAAAGGATTACTATTTTCAAATAGAACTATAACAGTTCGTGTGTTTTGATTTAACAATGCTCCGAGTTGATCAAAATGTCCAGCCATATATTAGTGTTGGTATGAGCTAAAAAGTAGCAGTAGTACTGTAGTGGTCATATACAACCATAGAAGGAATAGCCTAAAAAACAGCAACAAAAAGTTGGTACATAACTATATTAACTATATTTACTTTAACGAAAATCAAATTGCACAAAGCTGCATTAAAGATGCTAAGAGGATCGCACCAACGGTGGTTATCCAATTGGAAACCATACAGCTCATTCATGAACATGCTCATAATGACGTCACCTACAAACCAAGACAGGAGAATGGTAAGCAAAGTTTGAAAAGATATATGGTAGCAATTGACTACAAAATAAAAATATGGAGCTACTTCTCATTTTTCTAAGCCAGTTTTTCCTAGCATGATGAGCGTGAGTTAAATAACTTAACTTATTATTGCACGGTGTACCTCTACAGAACATTACAGTTCAACGGCAATCAACTCAATTTGATATCAACATTCTCAATGTAAGTATCATAGTTGCTATTATCAAGTATCTACTTCTGTTTGCAACAGGAAACACCGATATGAGGGGAAAGCAAACCATTAAATTATTTAATTACCTATCAAGCAAACATAAAAATAACATAGTCCAAGAATTAAAGCATATCATAAATTCAGTTATTGCCTAAACATTCAGAGCACTGTGTTGATCTGCTCATCATGCTTTGGTTTTTGTCTAATTTTTCAGTCTTTGATTCGACACGTATCATGAAATTGGGTGGCTTTTGTCAGTTTTTTTTTTCTTTTTGTCCTTTAGACCATTAGATCTTAAACCATGAACTAGAAATATTCAGGTGAACAACAGAACACCCGAATTACCAAAATAGATGAACTTTTAATCATTTAATGACCAAATAGGAAAACAGAATAAACATGCATTTCCAATATATAGCTAAGCATGTAGCACAGGTGCAGAGAGCTTGGTTATGAGTAACCTTCAACTTCCATATCTACCACACCACCAAAAAGAACAGCCCTTTTCTTGTGCACACACATTGAAAAGCCAGCTCTGGGACCAGGCGGCATCCCAGCCTTCTTAACCTATTAACAATTCAAATTAACGAAGTAAAAAAAAAAAAAACACTTGATGGGGATCTGTAGCTTTTGAAGCAAAACTCAAGATATTGTCAATATAAAATTCCTGGACTTAAGTACATGGAAAGATAAAAATCAACAGATATAACATTTAATATGATTATATAAATATAAGTGTCGACCTTATTCCACTCCCAAGTACGAGGATCAAGAGACCACATATCTGCATGAACTGTTCCTTTTTCTTTGTCAGAAGAAACTTCTTTAAAATATCCACCATATAGATATATCTGCAAAAAAAAAGAACATAAAGACATTTGCAAATAAAACTAGTAAGAAAACAAGGCATAACCAATAGTTCTTGGCATCTAATGTGCCATAAGACCATAATTTGTCACATAGCTAATTTGATATTAACCAATCACCATAAAAGGTGTTATGACTTGTTGAGTCATTAAAAAACTTATCATTTGATTGAACAAAGATGTGCACATGATTGTGTCATCATTTGATTGAACAAAGATGTGCACATGATTGTGTAATCCTAACAAAGATGTGCACATGTTTGTGTCAGCATGACATATTGACATAACATGTGCTAGTACAGATGATTCAAAAGGGAACCAATTCTCACATAAGAAGTTCAATGTCCCAACAATAAGAGCTCTCGCAAAAACTTGTGGCACATAAACAGTTGAAAAGTTTAGGTAGTGTTAAAAAATATCATGCACCGTCCGTAAATATCTAAGACAGAAAATACATGCTTGCCTGATCTTGGTAAACAGCAAGCTGAAAGCCACTTCTTGGACTTGGCCACAGGCACCCAGGTCGAGGCTTGATTTCCTCCCACTAAAATATCAAAGTGCTCAATAAGAACATTCAAATTGAGGGCTCATGTGTTACTAAGAGAGATTATGCAGTTATCAGTACTAAATGAAGATAAACAATGTTTACTCACCTTGAAATGGTCCAAATCAAAAACATGCAGATCATTGTAGTACCTGTGGAAGGATATATTCAGAAGATATTCTATGCTATCAGTTTATTTTCTGTCACTTTGTGGATTATCAACTGTAAGAATCCATAAAAAGGGGCAGACCCAGTGCCGGAGGCTCCCACATGAGTGGGGTCTGGGGAAGGGAAAAACCGAGGCAAGCCTTCCCCCCACAAAATCTGCGGAGAGGCTGCTTCAAACCCGTGACCTGGTGACTCAATGAGACAGCTCTCACCACTGCACCAGGCCTGCCCTTCAACTGTAAGAATCCATAACTCATAATTTTCTAGTAACTCCCATTCCCTCTCAAACAAGATCCAAAAATAGATATTAATCAAGCAATCGCATCACCACATCAGAAATCAGAGTTACATAAAAATTAACTCTACTGACCTCACTTCCCTAAGAGTGTCATAAAAGCCACCAAATAGAACAATCTTGTGCTTGTAAAGAACCTGCAAAAAAGATAAACAAAGAATGTCTTAAACTGGCTAGATGGCAATATAAAAGTATAATATGGGATAAACATGGGAAACAAATTAATATACACGTATGTCCTCTTAAAATTGTCAGAATAATATTGAGAAATGGAAACATTTCTCAATGGTGTATATCTACAATACATATCAGTTATGCTAACTCGACCATACTTAAGGAACTCCACAGATTGAATGCAAAGTTTCCTATTTCTCATGGTTATCAAGGAAATAAAGCAAGGCGTGGCGACTGACTACTGCCTTACGCTTAAGCGACTAAAGCGTGAGGCGAGGCGACGCCTTAAGAATTTAAGAAAAACTTAAAATAGCATCTTAGAGCAGTAGATGATGAAGAAGAAACTAAAAGGAAAAAAGAAAAAGAAAGGAGGAGGAGTAAGAAGTGGGCTGCCCCTGTCCCCACCAATGCCATTCTGCCTCCGCTGGTCAGTGCTCTCAGATCGACAGCCGCCGCAGCCATCCCCTTTCAGATCGAGCAATTGGCGAGCGGGAGATGGAAGAAATCAAGCCAGCAGAAGCAAAATCGAGCGGGCCAGCAGCAGAGTCGACGAGGAGATGGCGGAATCAAGGGGTCATCACCGCATCAGCATGCGCATAGAGGCGACCCTGGACCGCTCTAACGCTTAAGCCACACCTTAGTAACCATGTTATTTCTCATATTTAAGTACCTTAGCTTTTCAAATACATAGTACAAACAGTTAAGAACTACCAAACATAACCTTCAACTAGCAATACAAACTCATGTTCTGTACAATTTCTAGTACTACAGGAAAATTACACTTTGTCCATGCTCAAAATACATTAATGCATAAAAGATTAGGAGAATGGAACTCCACAGTGAATAAATGATTTCAACAAAAGACACTAACCATCCTGTGTCCTGAACGTGCACTTGGACAGCTCTTTGCAAGAATTTGCTCCCATTGATTTGTTTTCAGATCCAATGTCCAAAAGTCCTACGAAAAATTAGTCAAGGAATAAGAAAAGGCACCACCTTTTATGATTGTTGCATCAAGTCAAGTCAAGATATGTAGTGCAGTTTGACATTGATCACTCAATGCTAAAGAATTTTCTACTTCTCGAGTTATAAATGGGAGAAAAAGTTCAAAGATTAGTGTCTACAAGAGAAATTTGAATTAAAATAATGTAACTTTCTCAAAAAAATATAATCATGTATACAAATGAGTGCCTACTCCTATCTAGGTTCAAAATTGAAAATGTAAGTCAAATATATACATATTTTGCTCCTAACAAAGGTGTATACTTGATGCCAAGAAAACATTCCCAAAACGACAATGAGAAATTAAACTATCATACTTCGTTTTCTACCTTGTAATGATGAAAACGTTCTTGGTTTGGTGAAGTAAATTCCCCACCTAAAATATCAACAAAGGAAAAGGTGTCGATAACATATACAGTACACTGAAACAGCATGTTACCCAGAGTGAAGTTCTATTACCAAACATGTATATATTATTCTTCCAGGCTACTGTCTGGTGAGCACTTCGTGGAGGTGGACTGTTAGGGCTAGATACCAATTTCCATTCATTTTTCTCTACATCATAGCGATAAAGATCACCATAAACAAAGGTCTGCACAGATAGGATCACAATATTATTCATCAACACAACAAAGTACTCCCTTTGTTCCAAATTACATATAGTTCACTTTAGTTTTGTCCAAAGTCAAACTTCTATAATTTTGACCAAGCTTTTAGAAAAATATACTAACATCTATAAATTCAAATAAATGTTCTACCAAAACATATTTCATGGAGAATTCAATGAAACTAATGTTGGCGAATTGGGGCTGCCAGAGGGCAACTTGGCCAGCAGGCCGCTTGGATTGTATTGAATTGCAATAACAACTTGGATACAAAAGATGCTAACCACTGCATATATAAGCAAGTGGTGTACCTACTCCTTAGCATATTCTAAGTGCATAAAGCAGATGCTATGATTCCTACTTGGTTGCCAAGGCACCATGATCAACTTGGTTGACAAGGAACCTGAAAAATTACATGACAGTAAATAGTAAATAGCTATAGTAGGTAACTGGAAAAACATGAACACTAGGCTAACTACTGACAATTCTCCCCTTTAGCCTTGTGGTCCTTGGAAGTGATGTGCTTGAGCCCAATTCTTCCCCTCATCTCTTCAAATTTTGATCTTCCAAGAGACTTGGTTAGAATGTCAGCCAGCTGATCAGTGGTGGATATGTGATCAGCCCTGATACTTCCATCTTCCAAGCAGTTTCTGACAAAGTGATACTTGATTCTGATGTGCTTACTGCGCTCATGAAAGACTGGATTCTTGGCTAGAGCAAGTGCAGACTTGCTATCAACTTTCAGTTCGACCACTTCCACATTCCTTCCAAGGAGGTCTGCCAGCAGCCTGGATAGCCAAATAGCTTGTGTTGCAGCTGTGGTAGTGGCAATGTACTCAGCTTCACAACTAGATAGGGCCACCACCTTCTGCTTCACTGACTGCCAGCACACAAGATTGCTTCCCAGAAAGAACAGAGTGCCACTAGTGCTCTTGCTGGTGTCAATGTCCCCAGCCAAGTCACTGTCGCAGTACCCAACAAACCTTGCTCTCCCTGGAGCCTTAGTGTAGTGCAGGCCAAACTCCAGAGTACCAGCCACATATCTCAGGATGCGCTTGATGGCAGCTTGGTGTTCTGCAGTCGGCCTCTCCATGAATCGACTGACAAAGCCTACTGAGAAGGCTAAGTCAGGTCTTGTGTGGACCAAGTAGCGCAAGCTGCCACCAATCTTCTGTATTGGGTAGGATCAACCTCTGCAGCCGTGCTCTGCCTGCTCAACCTCAGCCGCTCCTCCATTGGTGTATGGGCGGGGTTGCAGGCATCCATACCTCCCAGCTCAAGGATCCTCTTGGCATAATGGGTTTGCCACAGAGTGATCCCAGCTGGATCTTGATGTACTTCGACCCCCAGGTAGAAGGACAGGAGGCCGAGGTCGCTCATGTCGAAAACCTTCTTCATTTGAGCCTTGAAACCTTCTATGGCTTGAGCGCTGGCACCGGTGATGATCAAGTCGTCAACATAGACGCCGATCAGCAGCAGCTCCTCCCCTGTTCCTTGCCTGTACATCGCAGCTTCATGGTCGCTTTGCTGGAAACCCATCTCCTTGAGGGTGGCGTCCAGCTTGGCGTTCCAAGCTCGTGGAGCCTGCCGTAGGCCATACAAAGCCTTGCGCAGACGGTACACCATCTTCTCCTTCCCGGCGACGGTGAAGCCAGGCGCCTGCTTCACGTACACCTCCTCCTTGAGGTCGCCGTTGAGGAAAGTCGATTTGACGTCCATGTGGTGGACGCACCATCCTTCTTGGGCCGCCAGCGCGAGGAGGACTCGGACGGATTCCATGCGCGTCACGGGAGCAAACGCGTCGTCGAAGTCGATCCCTTCCTGCTGGACGAAACCCCGCGCCACCAAGCGCGCCTTGTACTTGGTCACCGCGCCCCGCTCGTCCTTCTTGAGCTTGAAGACCCACTTCAAAGTGATGGGCCGGTGACCGGGAGGAAGCTCCACAAGTTCCCACGTGCGGTTCTGCTCAACCGCCTTGATCTCCTGCTCCATGGCGGTCTGCCAGGCGGGATCGCCTTTAGCCTCCGCGAAGTTGGCCGGCTCGCCGGCGTGCGTGAGGTGAAGCTCGGCGAAGAGACGTGAAGCCGGCGGCGGTATGGGCGCGTCCCCGACGATGTTGGGCATGGTACGGTACCGCAGCTGCTCGCCGTCGTAGGAAGCGTCAAGGCGATCGTCGTCGTCCTCGAGCGGTGACGCGATCCCAACTGGGTCCACCTGCTCGGTCTCTGTTGCTGGTGAAGCAAAGGAGGCCGGTGGATCGTGCCCCCCTGGAGCTGGTGACGGCGTGCGCGGCGGAGCTCCGTCTGCGTCGACTCCCGAGAACTCGATGTCGAAGTCGGCATTTGAAGCGGAAGCGACGCCCCGGTGGCGGTGGACCAATCCGCCGCGCCTTCATCAAACACCACGTCGCGGCTCACCTTGACGCTGCGTCCCGTCGCCGGATCGAGGACCCGGTGAGGTTTTGGCGCCCTCGGCGTAAGCCGATGAAGACCCCACCTTTGCGGTCGTTGAGCTTGCGTGCATGCCCGAGCTCCCTTTGTGTGGCGGCGACGCACCGAATGTACGCAGATAGCTCACCACGCCGGCCGTCGTCGTGCCGAGCCTCATAGGGGGTCTTGCCTTGCAAGCTTCTTGTTGTGCTGCTGTTGAGCAGATGCACCGCCGTCATCACCCGCCCCGAATTTGGCCGGCATGGACCTCTGCTTCAGGAGCGCGCGTGCGGTCGCCACGATCGTCTGATTGCGCCGCTCCACCACACCGTTCTGCTGCGGTGAGTGTGGTGCAGAGTAGTGCCGCTTGACTCCTTCGGCGGCGGGCATCTGCGCCGGCCGCCGACGGTGAACTCTCCTCCATTGTTGGTCCGCAGACCTTGAGCTCACGGGCGGTCTCCTTTCTTCTTGACGCCTTCACCCGCTTCACGGCATCCGCAGCAGCATCCTTGGTCGGTAGAAGCACCGCCCACATGAAGCGGGTGGCGTCGTCCACCATCAACAAGAAGTAGCGGCGCCCTCCTGGCGTCGCCGGCGTCACCGGCCCACACAAGTCGCCGTGGACGAGGTCCAGGGGCACTGCTGCTGCGATCTGCGCCGCTTCTGAAAGCGGCTTTGCGGCGGAGCTTGGTGGTGACGCAGGTGTCGCAGACTTGCTCGCATGCTTGATCACCGACATCCCCTCACCATCTCCTCGCTTGCCGAAGCCGTGTGCCTACCAAGCCGAGATGCCCGTGAAGCGCTCATGCCACCTCCATGACTCGTCCTCCTTCCTGGCGGCGGCAAGACACACCGGCCGCTGCAAGTGGCCTCCAAGTGCAGGATGTACAGCCGACTGGGCCCGCGATGTACCTTGGCGAGAAGACGACCACGCCGGTCCTAGATACGGAGCACTCCATGTTCAATCTCCACCCTGGAGCCTCCTTCGTCGAAGTGCCCCAAACTCATAATCAAGTTAGGCTATTTGGGATGTAGAAGACACCATGGAGGGACGCGCCGCTGCCCCGTTCTTGGCCTGGAAGACGATGGAGCCGGTCCCCTTGATCTCCACTCGAGACGAGTCGCCGAAACGCACCGTGCCGCGCGCCGTGGTGTCGAGCTCGGCGAAGAGCTCCTGGCGGCCGGTCATGTGATGCGGGGCCCCGCTCTCGAGGTACCAGCCGTCGAGCGCCTCCTCGTTGGCGCTGGTGTTGAGGAAGACACGCGCGCGCGGCTCGTTGATGTCGAGGGAGGCCGTGGCCTTGGAGCAGACGGCTTCGGTCTTCTCGTCGAGCTCGAAGAAGCCGTGGGCGAGGAACAGAGCACCATCATCGTCCTCCGCCTCTGCGACGTGCGCAGCACCGCCACGCCCACCACCGCGCCGTCCACCTCGATCACCTCCAACGCGGTTGCCTCCTCCGCGTTGGTTGCCACCGCCGCCGCCGCGGTCACCACCACCACGGCGCGGCTGGCGGCAATCGCGCGCCCAGTGGCCGCGATCACCACAATTGAGGCAGGTGTCGTCGTCCGCCCCGCGATCGTCGCCACCGCCTCTGTCTCCTCCACCGTGATTGCCCTTCCCACGCTGCTTCTTGCCGCCGCGTGGACGACGTCGCGGTTCTTTACACGACGGGAAGCGGCGGCCTCCTCTCTCTCTTGGCACGCGCCCGCCGCTCCCCTTGTCGCCAGCAGACCACCAATGGCGGCCGGTTCCGCGGCCAGCGCCTCCATGTCGTCCACCGTCTTCAAACGCCCAGACACCTCCTCGACGGTGAGGTCCTGGAAGTCGAGAAGCGTCTCGATGGCGATCCGGAGCTGGGCGTACTTCGGCGGCACGTCGCGCAGGAGCCTCTCCACCGCGCGCTCTTCATCGATGTCGTTGTCGTCGTGGAGAAGAAGCTACTGCTTCAGGGCCATCAAGCGAAGGGTGAAGTCCTCGATCTGCTCACCCGGACGGAAGGCGAGCTTCTCCCAGTCGCTGCGGAGTTGCTGGAGCGTGGCGCGGTGCACCCAATCGACGCCGATCCGCGCGGCGGCGATGGAGTCCCAGGCCTCCTTGGTCGATCCTTTCGGACGGCGCAGCATCTGCATCTCTCGCGCACGGCGGTGATGATCGCCTCCACCGTGCGCCTGTCCTCATGGTACGGTAGGTCCTGGCACTCGATCGCGTCCCAGAGTTGCCGCGCCTGGAGCTTCAGCTTCATGATCGAGGCCCACTCATGGTAATTTGACTTGGTGAGCATCGGCCAGGTGGAGCTCGAGCCAGAATCCTTGTACACGGTCTAGATCACCGGCGAGCGGCCCCTGGCCCGTCCGCGGCGGCGATCGATCCGATCCGGCGACGGGCGATCTGCTGCGCAAGGCCAAGGCGCTCCGGGCTCCTCCAGGAGGCGGGCGGCGATCGCGCGGTGGATCCTCCTCCACCAACTCTCGACGCAGAGCAGCGGCCGTGGCGGCAGCGGCTGCTGCTTGCTGCGCGCCCTCTTGCTTGCGCTTCTTGCCTGCCCGCTGCTGACAGCAGCTGACGCTGCTGACGCTGGCGGCGGCGGCGGCTGCTTGCCGCTCTCTACTGAGGTGGCCATGCCTCTCCCTTTCTCTCAACCCAGGCCCGATGCCAATTGTTGGCGAATTGAGCTGCCAGAGGGCGACTTTGGCGGTGAAGCCGCTTGGATTGTATTGAATTGCAATAACAACTTGGATACAAAAGATGCTAACCACTGCATATATAAGCAAGTGGTGTACCTACTCCTTAGCATATTCTAACTGCATAAAGCAGATGCTATGATTCCTACTTGTTGCCAAGGCACCATGATCAACTTGGTTGCCAAGGAACCTGAAAAATTACATGACCGTGAATAGTAAATAGCTATAGTAGGTAACTGGAAAAACATGAACACTAGGCTAACTACTGACAACTAATTCCATGTTCTAGATGTTGGTGCATTTTTTGTATGTAAACTTGGTCAGAGTTAAAGAAGTTTGGCTTAGGACAAAGCCACAGTGAACTATAATTTAGGACAGAGGGAGTATATGTCAAGAAAAATATGATAAAAGATCAAAAGATAAAAGCTAAGCAACCCATTACATTAGAATGAGAACTGCAGTATCTGCAAAGTATAAATTATAAATTGAAAGAAAATTTTCAAAATAAACTATGAAAGGGTCATAATAAAACAACTAAGATGTATTAGACATCACTAAATCACAAAAGATGTGGTCCGCACCTTGCTACCATTGTAGAACTCTCCCCCATACAGGATCAATTCTGTCTCTTTCACTGGGTTAACAGTAAGCTGCAAAAGGGAATATAAGTTTTTGAGACAAAATCTTACAGACTTACTTTACCAGCTAGAATTTTATATGCAAATGTGTGGGTTAACAATTAGATGGCGAAAAGGTAGTACTATAAACAATTACCCGGTAAAAAGCACTTAATCAAGCGAAGGTCACAAGCTCAACTGAGATTTGGCACAAATGAAAGGTTCAGTTATGTAACCCAAAAGATCACCAGATTTCATCATTAGCTTCAATTTTTATAAAATGCTATTTTGTCCTATAGAAACTCATAGATCTGACTATTTGTGATAAGTCCAGAGATGATAAATTCTAAGAATAAAACAAGACCAGTTGAATTACCGAAGTACCATAAGACAAATAAAGTGCAGAAGTATGCTAATTTAATTCATGGTCATTTGAAGCTTTGCGGTGCCTTACCGAGCAATTGGACCGAGGAGATGGTGCAGGAACATTCTCCTCCACATGAACCTCCTTCTTCTTCGCCTCTTCCTTCTGTATGCTCCTCTGGAGTTAAGAGGCAGAAGTGCATCAAATGGGGAAAATTACAACGGTTGCAACTTGCAAGCTATCAGATGTAAAGCGGCAATGCCACTAAATGCACGGGCAGCGAGCACAGACAGAGCTGACTCCAAGCTAAAAACAACGCCGAAGGGTTTGAAAAGCCGTTAATTCACGCAAGCATCGCATGCGTAGCAGCGTAGCAGCGTAGGTGATTTCAGCCGCCGCCAGCCCAGTGACACGCTGAGCCAAAATGAGCAGCCGCGACTGCACCATGCGTGACCCAACTTGGAGCACATGGAAAGAGGCGGGAAGGAGAGAACACCGACAAGGATGGCTTCGATGTCGTCCTCCTCGTCGACCTTGCGGGCCTCCCGGCGGGCGCGCTTCTCCTCACCCTTGGCCGTCTTCCGCTCCGTCTTCTCCTTCCCCTTCCCAGGCTTCTTCTGCTTCTTCCCCATCCTCTCCCTGCAGAGGTGGGCCCAATAAACGACATGGGCTCGGGTGCTCAGCTTGCACAGCAGGAAGGGAAGAGAAGGGGCAGGCATACCTCGTGGGTGCTCGTCGCCGGAAAGGGACCGACGAAGGCCTGGGCAACTGGGCGTAGGGCGGCGGCGGCGCGAGGTGAACGGGAGAAGAAAAACGGCAAACAGGTGCGAGCGCAGGAGAGCAGTCGTTCTGGGCCTGTTTACGGATAGCTTCTCCGCGCGCTACTGGACCGGGTGGTTTTCTTTTTCTTTTTCAGCAGGTCCACGGACATAACTACGCCGGTGCGTTAGGGAGAGCGGCCCATGAAACTGGTTTCCTTTTTCTTTTTCTTTTCTTTTTTGTGTTTTTCTTTTGCTTTTAACTTTTTTAATCACTGGCTAGCGTGCCCGTACGTTACTACAGGATAACTAACATTTTGTACTAAAAACACACGGATCGCATGATAAGATAACAATACTGTAAAAATTAAATACCAACGTTAAAGTGACATTTAATCCAAAAAGCAAAATTTATGAATTTAACAGTCCCGGAGTGCGCGGCATCGTAGGCTCACAAACTCTACTTTATAGACCTTTCCATGATGCGGCTAAGATAATGTTTTATATTGGCAGGAAGAAATCTCCGATATCCATTTATTTTGTGCTCACAAACTAATGATCCTGGTGCAACAATAGAAAATACAAAGGAGCTATCCTCGTGAATGCGCGGAACCAACGCTACTATGATCGTACCATCCCACGACCACTGGTATGGTATTGTTTAGCACTATTGTTCACTATTATCGCTAACTTACTTCGTTGGTTTTATTCAAGTAATTTATGTTTGTAATTATGTAGGTGCTAATTCGGTTGATCCCACATTGACACATAAGAAAAGTGGGGAACGTCGACAAAACTCATGATGACATACACCAAGTAATAAAAGCAGGAGTAAACTCACGTGTTTTTGTCATTCAGATTCCTGATGAAGAAGGGTTAGAGGGTGGGTTTACACAATAATAAACTTCAAGTAGAACGTTCCACGAGTAGTAGATTTATATATTTTCTGTTTTTTAATATTAGGTGACCATAAATTTTTCAGCAAAATTGATAATTAGAAAGGCTGGTTTGACAAAACAACAAAGCATGCCCACAGACTTAGCGTTCTTGTAACCCGTAGCTAGGCATGAAAAATTGATTGTCAGGAAACTATAAATATCTTCATGACAGTCAACTTGAACAAATGCTAACCTTAGCAGATTTAACCAAAGAGTCAGTAACGAAATAAATTTTGACAATGATGAAATGGTATTCTGATGTCCAAATTATTTATTAGACTCTTTCAACAATTGTCCAATCTACATACAACTCAAAGAGCATCTCATGAGTGATATATAAAAACAATCCATATTATGGGGAAACAATTAGCATTTTTATCGTGTATATATTCACCCCTTGAGTATATATTCCATGCTAAAATTCAAAGGGTAATTATGCAATCAGATGGAACATGCAACATGAGACTGATTAATCTCCGGAGACCCTTTATGGTACTACTTGCTAAAAATCACATGTGCTAAAAATTCTCGACGCAGGTCCATCTATGAGGACATAGCCACCAAGGTTTGCTAGCATGGAGACACATTTTGTCGAACATGTTGCCCGTGTTACATTCCCCACTTAAGTGTCCGCTTTTTCACACAAAAGAGAGAGCAGGGAAGGGGTGGGCATACCCTGGTTGACCACCAGCACCGCCAGGATGCCGCGCACGGACGCATGCCCCACCTCCAGCACCGGGACGCCGTGCCACCTCACGGTGGTCGGCTTTGGTGGCGCTGAAGAGCTGGAAGGCGAGCCCGGTGTCCTGGGCGAGGATATGGTGGATGTTGTCGATGAGCGACGCCTGGAAGTGGCCCAAGCTGAGCACGTTCTTCTTCACCAGCACCACGGTGCCATCGATCCGGCCCTCCAGCACCGTGGACGCCGCGCCGCCTCACGGTGATCGAAGGCGTGCAGCACGGCCAAGCGGGGAGTCACGGAGGGGAGGGGAGCGATACCGCGATCGCAAGGGGAGCGACGAGCAGGGAGGAGACCAAGGCAGATCGAACGCGTGAGCATGAAACCAAATAAAAGGAGGAAAAAGCTGTCCCTTTTGTAAATGCAAAGAGGGAAAGTAATTAAATGTAGGCAGATTTGGTAAGGTTCTCAGAAATACAAAGAGATTTCTTTTGTCTTAATTCTCTTTCCTTTTGCTCGTTGCCATGTATGTTGGTACATGCAAACATGCAATATGTATATGGATAGCACAATAATTTTCTACTTCTTATTTTGCCGTGATTCCTCTATCACATGACAGGCAATATTCAATCAAGGAGATGTCGTGGGATCGCAGTCGTGGGTAGACGGACGAACCAAAACAAATGTCGCACTAAAAAATATCTACACTTTGTTCTTTTTAGTTGTAAGATACTTAGTGTACTAGTGTACATTAGATCATCTAATCTATCGGTAATGCTCAGGGGCGGGCGTCCGTCCGATCGAACGCCGCCTTCCCGAGCCTGCGCACTACCAGACCAACAAGGCTGCCTCCTTCTCTCTACGTCTTCCCAATCTCTCTCAAAAATATTTCCCCACTCGCTCGACTATAGCTCGCTTCACGGCACCATGCGGCCGTCCGCTTGTCCCCACTCTACATTCGCTGTCGCGGTCATCTCTTCGTGCGCGCCCCATCCTGTGATGCTCGCTCCTCGCTCCTACCCATCGCGTGCCCCACACGCGCACTCTCGCTCCTTGCTCCCGCAGTCCCACCGGTGTCGAGCCGCCGCCTCGGCCGGTGCTGGTGGTGCCATCGTGCGCCTCAGGTCGGTTTCAGCCGAGCCAAGGGCACCCATGAGCGTGACCCGTGCTGATGGTGCTCGTGCGCCGCCGGCTCCCACCCTAAGGCTGGAATTAACTGGCCCCAAACTCCTCTCCTCTATGTTGTAAATATATGTTTCAAGTGTTTTGGATGCTTTAGAGGTACGTTGCAAGTGTTTCAGAGGCATGTTGCAAGTGTTTGTTCAAATGTTTCATCTGTTCCAGACGTATGTTGTAAGCATTTTTGGTCTGGATGTTGCATATGTTTCACACATATGTTGCAAGAGTATGTTTAAAATATTTCAGTTGTTTCAGTCTTATGTTGCAATAAGTGTTTTCATGTTGCAAGTTGCATGTGTTTTATCTAGATGTTGCATATGTTTCACACACATATTACAATTGAATATTCTAAATGTTTCATCTGCTTCATACGTATGCTGCATTCAAGTGTTTCGTATTTCAGAGGTACGTTTAAAGAGTCGGGGGGGTACGGCCCGGGCGCCGGGCGAAGGGGCGCAGCGAGCTGGGGCCGGTGGATGTGTAGGATCTCTGGTTAGCCTAGAGGGGGGTGAATAGGCCTGTTAAAACAAAACTTGAACTTTTGTCAAATTCAACCCGCGGCACTGCCGGATAGGCCAGAACAGTGGCACTGCCGCACCTGCAGACAACTTGTGATGTAATTTAAAATTTGTGAAAGAAAACTTGGATCCAAGAATTTACTAAGGTCCCTGCAGGTGTGTAGAATACAGATCGATAGCAAGAAGTGGTAGGAACACCACACACAAATAGATCGCCCACAAACCCTAGAAATCATCTCAACAACAATATGAATCACAAGAATGTAAAGCAAGCACATGGTGACACAATGATTTATCCCGTGGTTCAGCTCGTCACTAAGGCTTGTCTAAGTCCATGTTGTTGAGGTTAGCCAGTAAGGCTTAGGACTTTCCAACCCTTCCTCGCTCTCAAATCAAGAGACTTAACTTTTGAGATGATGGATGAGTTTACTAGCTTCAAGAGTTGGTTACGAACCTCCCGGGTTGCCACACAAGTTGGTAAACTCCACGGGTGATGCTCTAGCCGGCTAGGAGCCAAGCTCCAAGAGTAACAAACACAACCGTCAGCCGAAACATGAATCAAGCGCTCTTAGGAGTTTGGGAATAAGTGGATCTGCTCTCTAATCGAGTTTGGCACTTTTTTCTCTCAAGAATTGATGGAGAAATCAATGGAGAAGCTTGGGAGCTCAAAGTCACCAATGAAGGAGAAAGAAAAGCATTTTTCAGCTTCTGCACGAACTGAACGGTTGGGGGAAGAAGAGAGACGTTGGAAGGGAAAGGAAAAAGTATAAATACCCCCTGCCTCCAACAATCATTTAAGTTGCGGCAGTGCCGTGGCTCAAGTGCGGCAGTGCCGCTCAGCAGCAGTGCCTCTCTCTTGGTGGGGCACTGCCGCACCAGGCAAGATAGCAAAGGTAAATAATGAAGTGCTGGCTGTCTTGGCTGAGTAACTGAGGATGTAAGTGTAAGATTGAGCACTTGGTAGCACATATTAGCTTAAGCATTGTGTCCTCCTTTATAGTAGGGCTTATTGGATACACACCATTGCAATTTTCACGATTTTGAATCACGCCACTACAATTCGTCTAATTGGGCTGGTGCCATTACAATTTCGCAAGAGTTTGAAATACGCCACTATCTACGGCTGACTTTTGCCACTTTTGCCATTACAATTTTCATGAGCTGTTGTATTTTCGTATTGCCACTTTTGCCCTTCATGCCACGCAAAAGGATAAGCCGCGACCCCCGACGCGCGATGCGTCTTTCTGTTCGCCATCCCCGACTCCGCATACCTCACTCCCTTCCCCAACCCAATCCCTAACCCTAGAACTCGAGAGCGGCTACGAGGCGGTTGGTGGCGGCGGCAGCGGTCCTGGTCTCCGGCGAAGGAGGAGTGGGGCTCCACAATCCATGAAGGTCAAGTGGGCTATGGCAGCGGACCAGTAGAGCGGCGATGGTGCACGTTGCGACAACGGCGGCGGCGCCTGAGATCGTCGATTGTTTGGCCATGGATGGCACCAGGTACACTGTTTCGAAGTAGCACCTATACTAGCCGAGGATGGCGACACGGGTGGAAGCACG